GCATTGCTTATAGAGAAATACCTTCTCGCTCTCCGGTGCTTGAATGCCGCGTTGATCATCGATCCTGAGAACGCCACTGTCCACGAACAAGTCGTGCGGCTCCGCCAGGCCCTCAGCACCAAGCTAGAGTCGCTATCTCCGAAGGTAGTCGAGGTGATCAAATCCGATTTCACCGCTGTGGATGATTCGACGGACCTTAAGCAATACAACGCCGACTTCAAGAGCAAGCACGCCAACAGCGCACCGCACATTATCTCCGCGATCAAGACGTCGGCGTTCCTGGGCGAAGATCAGGCCAAAGCTGCGAAAGATTTAGAGAGTGTGCTGGAAATCCCAGACGTGCACCACGAACAGGCGGAGGAAGTACTCGGACTGCTGAGGCAGTGGCGCAGCGACGAGGCCGAACCCTTCAAAAGCAAGGCGCACGAGAAGTGGCCTGAGGTCACAGCTTTCGCATAAGGCGTGGAATCACAACGCACCCTACGCGAGGTGTTTATTCCAGGGCGGCCCTCTGCATTATCACTAAACTTCCGGTTCACGAAGTTCCATGTTTGATCCAGAAGACTTAGTGTGGAAACAAGTTACGCAGGGCGGGGCAGCGCAGCTGAATGGAGGAATGGAAAGGAGAAAAGAATAGAAACGTCCCTCCCTCATCATGTCTTTTCTGTCAAGGGTGTTCGGTGCAGAGGTAACAGGAGTGGTACTCTGACAGGTGGTGTTGCATCTCAAAAAGCATGGGAGAGGGAGACGTGGTGAAAACTCAATAAAGGGGACATGAACGGATGGATGGGTGGATGGATGGATGGTGCGGAAACTCTACAGGTAGATGCAGGAGACGGGAAAAGACAAAAGGCGTAGCTAGGTCATAAGAGGGCCGGCGGCTGTTAGCGAACATAAGAAAATTACGTTTATATATTACCCTCTATGGGAAACATCACGCGGCAGTCTACACGTGTCGCGTAGTGCCTTGCGTTTTATACGTGAAGTAACATAGATACTCGAATGTCACGAGCAGTTGATATGTTCTTCGTTGGTAACGTAAGCAACGTGTTAATACGAGATGTCTACTCTAGGTAGCAAGTGTGCTCTGGAGATTGCCTTAGATAATGCAGGACAGTCATACACATGCACACCAACACACACGTATGCTCGCTATCCAAAGCAACAACCAAATCATCGAGCTTTCCAGCTCCGGCTCCGGCTCCGGCTCTGGAATCCGAACCTGAAGCCGAAATCAATTATACGAACTAATACTAAGTACTTGATATCTAAGCATACATATCCCGCTGCCTCCCCGCAGCATCGTACACCTTGAAGTACACGGTCTCGCCGCCGTCGAAGTAGTCGCGCACGAGCACCTCGTCCTCCTCGTAGCCCTGGTTCTCGAGCTCGACCAGGAACTGGATCAGCGACTGCTTGCGGAAGAACAGGTCGGGATACCAGCCGGCTGGGTAGCTGGAGCCCCACCACATGTCTGAATTAGGTAGTTGTGTTAGCATGGCTTGATTTGGTTTGTGGGCTCGGTGAGTGAATGAGTGAGATCGGTACACGGTAGGCCTGATATGACTTGAGGGGTGATATCTCTTTTTAAACCAAAATAGCTAGCGAAGTGCTTGTAATACCTACTTGTCCCTCCCCCAGCCCCCTTTCTACGGACTCGTTCATCGATACGTCCGTCTACTTACGCCCACTTACCTCTCTAATCACATCCGAAATAAGGGGGGGGGGGGGGCAGTAGTGACGATGATGCGGGAATTCCCTTCATCACAACATCACCACACCACAACACCACAGCAGCTCTAACTACCAAACCTCCCCATCCCATACACTACACTACGAGGACAGGAGGTATGGTGTTTTGTGCGGGTCTTCAAAGTTCAGGGAACGAGTGTGAGAAGGGGAGTGGAGGGGCAAATCACTAAAAGCAAGGCCAGGCCAGGCAAGGCAAGGTAGGGTAGGGTAGGGTAAGGCAGCAAAGGCAAAGAAGAAAGAAAAAGAAAAAGAAAAAACACAGGAAGAGCAACACATACGGAACACGCCCCTCACGAACCTGGCCAGCGTCTCGTTCTCGTCCACATCCTGGCCCCGCGTGTGCCCGTAGCTCCCGTCGCGCACGTTGACCCACATGCAGCCGAGGTCGCGGTACCCGCGGCGGTGCCACCCGGCGCCGCGGACCTTGCGCCCGTACGGCAGCTGTCTGGGCGCTCCGCTGCCCGGTGTGCGCGGCGGCGGCGGCAGCTTGGCGGTGCCGGTAGTCTCGCGGTTGCGCAGCCGCCGCACGGCGCGGTCGAAGCCGCCGAGGCGTTGGAGCTCCTCGTCTTCCTGCTCCTCCTCCTCATCGTAGGCGCTGACGTCGACGGCGCGACGCCGATCCCCGAGATTTCGGCGCCGCTCCTGCTCCACGATCCTGCTCGCTTCGGCCCAGCCTATCGTCACCGGAGTCCGCTTTCTGTCCGCCGCTATCCTCGCTCGCTCGATCTTCGCTGCTGCTGCTTCCGCCTCCCGCTCCCGCTCCCGCTGCCGTTCCCGGTCCCGCTGGTGCCGGGCCCGCTCCTGGCGGATCTGCTCGGAGCGATCCACCTCGGCCTGCTGCCGCGCTGTCGCCGTGCGTGCCGTTCTGTCTTTGCCCTGCTGCCGCCGCTGGCGGCGTCGGGCCAGCGCCGCTTCGAGCGCCGCGTGCTCATCTGGCGTGCGGCCGACTGCGCGTTGGCGGGAGCGGCGGCGGGACGCTGCCGCTTCGTCTGTTTCTGCGTTCATCTCCTGATTGACTGCTCAAATAGTCTACTTGCCTTTATGGTATTATGTAGTTGTAGGTAGGTAGTTGGCAAGTTGGGGAGAAGACGAAACGGGGCTGGCTACTAGCTAGTACATAACAACTTGCTTATATAGCGGCAGCTGTTTAGTAGGCAATCGTGTCGTACGTATTCACAACGGTCTGAACCCTGCCCTTCGAGGAGTTTTATAGGAAGGTTACTGCTGCGTAAAAGCAATACGGACCAGGATATATACCCCTCACCAGAGAATAGTATGTCCTCCAGGGGTTATTTCACTGACATGAATCCGTCGTACCCTGACGTCTGGTAACACGATATAGATTTTCATGAGAAGTGGTAAGTGAAATTGGTGTAATTAAATCTCACTAGGTAGACAGTACGAAGTACTTTAATCGTCTTTGTTGGTTTTATTAAACTCAAGTCACAGCCCCCGCCTACCACATCGTGAAAATTGAGTGTTCGTTCGTCCGGCGCTCCGCGAAGCCCGGGTTCAGGGGGCGAGAAATCGGCGTAGTATTATGATGTGTGGGCCCACCGATGGTCGAAATAACCACGTACCAAATACGTTTCCGAGCGTCCCAAAATGATTCTTAACACACCAACTTCCAGCCAAAAAGAATAGATAAGGTACTCCTAAACCACAGTCCCATCCCACCAGAAGCGCCGCTCTTTTCACACGCTGTGCCCCTCCCCCAGCGAGGCGGTAAACGGCGCGCTGGTGAAGCACCGGCACAGCGAGCTCATGTACAGGTGCGCGTCGCCGGTGCACATGCGCGTGATGTGGTCGGGCCACCAGTAGGCCGGGCTCGGCTTCGGCAGGGACGCGAACAGCCGGGCGGGATCGGGATCCTTCTCCGTCCGCGCCGTCCGCTGATACGCGTCGCACAGCGCCGTCACGCCGCGCGGGTCCATCTTCCCGTTGATCTCGAACTGGTTGTAGCAGTCGTCGTAGACGCACGACGTGACTGCCGGCGCCGGCGTGATCGGCCCGTGGGGCGGGGGCGACCGCGTCTTCACCGGCACCGGAGCCTGCCCCGGCGGCTTGAGCCGCTGCTGCGTAGGCGCGGGCGCGGCTGCGGCTCGGATGCAGTAGTGGTACCCGGCCCACAGCCGCCGGCAGTCGTGCTTCAGCTGCGGGTTGAGGGCGAGGAAGGCGTCGATGCTCAGCCCGGCCGGCTTCGAGAGCGAGTAGCACGAGTCCCCGGGGCTCGCGAGGGTCCAGCCGCTGCAGACGCGGAAGTCGCTGCCGGGCTGGACTAGGCCGGGAGGGTCGAGGGCGAGCCCGGGGGAGGCAAGAAGTACTAGCAGGGCGGTAAGAGAGGAAGTGAGGGTCTTCAACATGTTGATACTTGCTAGTTATGTGGTAGGTATGACCGGTCTGTATAGGGTGAAATTTACCCTGGGGGAAACCCGGGATGAAGTATTGTGCTACGCGCAGAAGGAATTCCTCCATATAGACAATGGCGGTGGCGTCTCAAGTTATTTCTTTGTTTAGATGCGTATATAAGCGTCGAGGCTTGAGGGGGACAGGTGTGGGAAGCATGAGTAGAGGGCAAACAAAGGCTGTCTCCTCCTACTTTGTAAATGACTTACCACACGCCTTAAGTGCTGTGACCTGGTGTTTGTCAATGCCTATCTCATTGAATAGTGCTTCATGGCCTGGTTTCGCGACTCATGCATTTCGATAACGGCGATCGGTTGGCTTTTCTCGAGGCTTTATTGTTGATCCCTAGCCCTTCTTGCCCAAGCACACCTCAGAATGGCATTCTTGAATAACAGGATCACATGCACAAATGCTTACTGACATGGAGGTTTGCTCTTGTTATTTTCATGGTTGGCATGTTAGCTTAGGAGTTAGGGGTTCAGCATTATCCAATCTCAACTATATTACTTCAGCTAAACTTGGAAAGACCATGCATATACGTCGCTTGTTACAAACTCGCTGTAGCTATTACGGTCCATGAGTGTATAGATTGAATCTATACTTCGATATCATCTGGTCTGGCAACTGTCTGGTAATAACTTGAAGTCTCGGGGAATTGTCTCGTGATCTGACAAAACAGCCGCCCCGATCTGCATAACGTTAACCCCAAGCATTTAGCGCACGCACCCTTTATACCTACCTATCCTTGTTCTACCTTACCTACTACGAGTGTACGCAATTATGAAAAAGGAGACCCGCAACCAAATTGATTGCCAAATACAAAAACAAAAAGGAAATTCAGATGCATCAGCCAGGAATCGAACCAGGGTCTAGCGCTTGAAATCTTCGTGGAAGGCGCTAATGCTAACCATTACACCACTGATGCTTGTTGTTTTCGCCGAGTAATGCGCAATATATAGTGCTTGGAAGTGGAAGGCTAGCCGAGGCTTTTCGCTAAGAGTTCACGATGACTGCGCGTTTCTATTTTTAGTCACATTTTGCTAATCGGAACCAGAGCTTGTCTTCATCTAACTATTGTATGGGCTCCCCGGGCAATCAGTTCGGCGGGGGAAGCATTGATAGCAACAGACACGTAATTGTAAAAGCAATATTACAGCTGACACTACGTGGCTACCGGGGAGTTGGCAAGACAGCTCAAACTTTATTTTCGCAGAGGACTACTGTTTGGTTTGGAACTGCAACTCATTCACCAGAGTTTGTGAGAATATTTCCACCAACAGCTACATATTGTCGAGGACTGAAAGAGCCTGTGACGAGATCAGAATGTGACGGGAGCTTGTTAGCTGAGGGGAAAAGACCTAAGCCAATGACAATCTACTATTACGTAGTAGCTGAGTAGCTCCCCGCACGCCCCGCATAGCCGCGCTACTGTAGATCGGCTCATCAAAGTTTGTCGGCGATCGCCGATCGGCTTGTCGCCTGCAGCGTGGGATAGATAGTGGGAGATATTCGGATAATCACGAACGATCGCTGCCCAATCTAGGGCCTAGGGATATAAGTTAAGAAAAGTAAAAAAATTCAACAACGTCCAAACAGAGGGGCTTTTTCGGTTCAGCTCAAAAGTAGCGTGCTACTCTTAGGGGAAGCCAGTCTTACCTTACTCTGCGGGGTCGGTAGCGTGCTATGACACGCTGCCGGCCCTCAGAATCACCTCTGGCGCAATGGCAGCGTGTCATCTTCCGGTTTACCTATGTTTCACCCCTATTTATAGATCTTCTATTATAGGAAAACATTGGGAATGGGTCGTGGTGAAGGCTCTCGGTTCGAGTCCGGGGAGGTGAGACTTTATTTTTTGGTTTTGTTTTGCTTCCTGCTCATTGCCTTACTTCACTTTGGGTCTACTCATTTATTCATTCTTTTTCTTCCCTTTTCCTTTTTTTCTTTTTTTCTTTTTTTCTTTTTTTCTCTTTCTCTTTTTCTTTTTCTTTCTTTTTCTTTTCTCCTTTGTTTTACTCTTATATAATGTCATCGTACTCGACGCTTTCCGAGTAGCGTTGACCTTCACACCGGCGCAGTCTTTACTGGTTTCTAGACTGGTCAAATGTCTGGTCAATGATGATACTACGACGCGAATATAAGGGCAAGTCATTTGAGTAAAGTTTTACTCTGGGGGCACAATCTCGATAGTGAAGATGATGGCAAGCGCGTAGCTACCGCCGACGCCGCCGACACCCTGAAAGGCACACAAGATGATACCACATGGGTAGCATTGCTTGCGACGACCTGCTCATGTGGCTGATGTATATAACCACTGCGGTTGAAAGGTTGCTACATTGGATGCGGATCTGGCCTAAAGTCTAGCCTTCTACACTTTGATGTAGGTATGCTTTCCAGGCAATACTGCCAGCAAGATCTCCTGAATTCCATACCCTGGATGCATGATGCATCGTCGTCCCAGTATGTCGCATGCTTCTTGATTGCTCTGATATGAGCATTTTCCTCATGAGATTCCCCTCAGGACGTATCTGAACCCTTTGCTGGCCCAGCTCACGAATGGATATGTTGGCTGGCACGCAATTAAGGGAGATATTCATCTCGTGACATACCTGGATCATCTCAAGTTCGGTAAGATCGTGGAGGCTCAAAACGATGTCGATGGGTTGTTTATGGCGTATTCGACCTGACCTTCCACATTAGACATATACCTAAACCCGCGAGTGGCAAAGGCTCACATCTACGCCAATGCGCGATCCCCGCAGCCTGCCGAGCGTCTTCACCGCCCACGACCGGGCCGACCACCGGCGTCGGCGCCGTGTGGTCGGACAAGCCATATCGGAGCAGTCGATGCGCGCCTTCGAGTCGACATTGGTCGTCCCAGATCGACGTGTTCCTCCCTCGTGCAGCTTCTGCCGCTCCAACCAGCGACCACCACAGCCACAAATCGTGGGCGTGACGTCGCGCTACAAGTACCACACCTCGCGATGGGGACGTGATCAGTCTCCTCGCGTTCGGGGAGGGCCTCCGTGGAAAACGCAGGCGGAAAGAAGCGCTCGCTGCGGCTTCTCGTGCCGCGGGCGTTCGCGGCCCGGACTCAACAACCCCCACCCCCCGCGTGTATCTACCGGTGTTCAGGAGCCGAACGGGACGCCACGCGGTCACACTTGGGCGTGCAGTGGGCTCGTGCGAAACGAAAACGCCATCGATGGAGACGTCCCCGCCACGTCCTGTACTGGCCGTGGATGGGGTTGGGGATGATCGCGGAGCAGCGGATAGCGCTTGCCCCGCAACGCGAAGCACGACCTGTATGTACTCGTTCGTCGCGCGCTCGGCCAGGCGCCGCAGGAGGGGATCCGGAAAAGCGAGATCTGGGGCGAGGGCGGGGGTGTTCGTTTATGCAGGCAGGGTCGACTAGGTACCTAATAGGTACTGAGATCGTGTCCCTGCCCTAAAATAGGACGGCTAGATAGTTGGTAGGTTGGTTGATTGGTACGTTGTTGACGAGCCCTCGTTTATAATAACAGAACAGGTGGAACCACTACGGCCACGGCTCTGTGCACGATCTTCTACTACCTCTCGCAGAACCCATAACCCTAGTATACCCAACTTACTTCCAAGATACGGACAACGTTCTCTTTAGGCCATGACATCTAAGATAGGCAATAGCTGGCGAGTTGCAAGTACCTCCGCACCGCCATTGACGAGTCGATGCGGATCTGCCCCCTCCCCCAACGCCCGGAGTGATGTTGCGTGAGAAGGATCCTTTCTCCTCCCTTGCTCCTCTCGTTACGTATAGTCATGTCATCGCGTTAGACACCCTAGTAGACATGGGGACTTACAGCTTGATGCACAATCCAGAGTACTCCGGAGCCATTCGCCGTCTGTCCTGAGCGGTAGCTGGAAGAAGGCGAGGAGACAAGACCCCTAAGAAAGGAAAGGGAAAGGAAGCACGAGCCACTAGTGTCATGCGACATGCCTTCATCCCTTTCAGCCTAGGAGATCGCGGGTGTGCGGGCAAGGTGGTGACGTACCTCGAAATGAGTCTGACTGTGGGCCTAGACGATACGATATGGCGACTTTGAAAAGGCTCCCGGGAATGCGGGCGAGCTCGGTAGTAGACGCAAGGGGGCGGGAGGAGGCAAGAGAGCGGTCAGATGAGCGCCAGCTCTACGAGAGTCATGGCGGAGCACGAAGGGACCGGATTTCGGGTTTTCGGCCACGGGAGTCCCATGGGAAGGAATTGATCTAGGCATATCAGTTAGGTATTTTCATTCAACAACCATCATAGCAACCTTTTTACCGTCTTCTTTCGCGACAGCACCGGGAGCTTGGGAGGAAGACAGAGCCCTTGGGGGATTGATCGATCTACTGGGAACTCTTTGATGGAACATGATGGATCTTGTGGCATCACCAACGAAAACGAAATTTAGGAAAAGAGTATTAATGGATTGTGGGACCTTATGCTACTTAGCTAGTCTGATGCCGGTCGGCTGGCTATATAAACTACTCTCATAGCGTTTATGTGCCAAATGCCGCGATGATACATCGCGGAAAAGCAAGAGTTTGGAGACATTGTCTAACTCACTGGGTGCTAACTAGTAGTCGTAGATATGCGTCTCATTCACACGTTGCAATGCCGTAACTACTGCCAGGCAATAGCATGGTGTAGGGAGAGGGCATCTATACCATCTTCCAATGTGCACTAGTGATGTTCTCTCCTGTTAGGGGTGTACATGTAGAGTGCCTGAGGTGGTGCTGATGGGAGTAACCTTTCTGAGCAACTTTTGGTCGACATTCGTATCGGTGGAAGTTTTCTCCTCCATTCGTATCAGTCTAGAAACATCTAGGATAGCGTTGAAGCATCTCAGAGCCTAGTAGTTTGGAGATACAATGTGTGAGGCACCGGAAGGAAGGCTGAGGGCAATTGTCAAAACTTGTCAAATGACTACTGCGCAGATTCAGTGCGGGAGAGGGTTTCCAGGAAGCTTAGGCTCGACGGTCTTTGCACCTGTATTGTCGTGGGCGTTTTTGCCTGCTACCTGAGCCCTGGGGTCGTAAGTCGTGATGATCAAGCTCTTGGAATCGTTCTTGTCCTGTAAGTCGTCCTCATTGATATCCAGACCCGCTAAACAGCCTTGTCCAGTTTTGGGCCAAGCCGGTGGGATGGGGTCGGCAGATGATTCGCGTACGGACTGGTCTTGATTTCCGGCGGCAGCCATTAAGACTGAACCCGCCTTGCCGCTTACTTGTACGCCACGGGTGCCTCCAGGAACTGGAACTGGAACTGGATGCGGAGTAAAGTCTCCCCGAGGATAGTCGAGGAAGTTCGCGTACGGCGGCGGCTTGTACCAGACACGATTGACAGGTTCATTGGACGGAAAAATGGGGAGGTCTGGATGGAGTTCAACGCTGTACATCAAGAGGTTGAGCAGCTGTCCCCGAGAAACCGTGGCGAGATAGGCTCGTTTCTAGGATATGTCAGTTATCTCTGCATGGATAGAGGACCAATGAACTTTACCTGCTCGGTGCTCTTGCCCGCCCAACTAACGCCTCTGAAGCTGTCCAGGAACCTTCTCTTAGCCAGGTGTCTCTCCCGTTTAGCAAGGCAGCTGCTACAGAACCACGATTGCGTCGCGTTGTTGACAAAGTCGTCATCGATGTAAGGTTCATGGCAAAACTGATGCCAACAGAAGTTGCAACCATCGCAGAAGACGATCTGGTTCTTCTGTAGGCTGATGCCTCTGGTACACACTTTGCACAGTGCCTGCTCGGATGTTCTTTTGCCGTAGTGCTTGCGTTTCTGTGTGCTCGCCGGGGAGGAAGGATTGAACGGTGCAGGCTTTTGCACGTGACGACCTGACTTAGTCGTAATTGGTGTGGCCTGGTCTTTAGACGAGTCCTCGACGACGCTGTGAGGGACATCGCTTAAGCTTGATGAGTCATCATCATCATCCTTGGATCGCTTACGCTTTGTACCCTTGGATGGTTTACCTCTCTTCACCGGTGCCTTGAGGATTCCCTTTGGGACTGCAGGTTTGGCAACAGATGGTGCCCGTAATTGAAATGCGTCGCCGATGGGTAGATTGGTAGATGCTCCAGGCGCTGACGGCACTTTTGGGGTGGGCAGCGGCATGGTGTTGGGCAGCGGCATGGTGTTGGGCAGCGGCATGGTGTTGGGCAGCGGCAGCGGCATTGTAAGAGAGGTATTCATGTTCATAACCAATCGTCTCTTGGCATCGTCAAACGTAGACTTTTCTATAGTCTTAGCAACGCCAGAGGCCGAGGACAGAGCCGAGCTCAAGCTTCCTTTTTTGCGATTGATACGCTCCAAGATCATCTGTGTGCTCGTAGAGAACTGGGGCACGTACGGCCGGATTGGCGGGCTGGGATCCTTCGGCGCCGCAGCGGAAGAAGCAGCGGAAGCGACGGGAGCGGCGGAATCGGCAGAAGCGGCAGAAGCGGGGCCGGCGGTAGGCTGTTCAACTTGTGCCACGATGTTCTCAGTCAAGCCTTGTTCAGTATTTGCAGCTCCTTCTTCCATCTTGACTTCAGTTGGGCCTTTGCCTTCGACCTGGCCTTTGCCTTCGACCTGGTCTTTGCCTTCGATCTGGCCTTTGCCTTCGATCTGGCCTTTGCCTTCGATCTGGCCTTTGCCTTCGATCTGGCCTTTGCCTTCGATCTGGCCTTCGCCTTTCTCTGGGGTCATTGTTACGGTTACTTAGCTGTCATTGGCCTGGGCTGACTGGCTCTAATTGAGGTAGACGGCGACGTTGTCTCCTGTGAATCAGAACGGCACCTAGGCACCGGGGTGGATTCAATGGCACCTCGGCAGCAGGATAGAGGCC